GAATCAGTCGCCGTTTGATCCCAGACGCTCGTAGTCTCGTCCTCTTTCGTTTCATAACAAGCTTGCATGATTCTCTGTCCATAAAGTGAGGTAGAAATCAATTCTTCTTCAGGTCATGCCCGAGTTTCTGCTCCCGAATCGCCAATTGATCTCTGATTGACTTGAAACTTGCGCCTATGCTTCACTTTATGTGCTAGGACCTGAAATGTGACAAAGGAACAAAACCTAGAATAAAATAGGCCAAAGACACGGTAATTCAAGCTTAAACAATCAAGAAACAAAGGGGAAAACATGTGCAAATACCGAGTCATCATTGTGGCATGCAGAATTCCTCATAACTCAGGCGGAAGTAGATTCCAAGGTTGAATTTTTTTTATCACCAATAACATTTCCAAAGCAGAGATGTTCGTTTACACCGAGCCGGTTGAAGGCGCTGGAGGTCATTCTAGAGAAGGCCAAACATCTGGTATCCACGATGGAGGGGATTATATGAAGATCATCCCTACCAAAGCTACCATGATTGTATTCCTACATTGAGTATCAAGAAGGAGGTGGAGTTCATCATCAATCATTTCCATCATCTGAAGAAGAAGCCCAAGGGTACCATGACAACCAATAAGAAGGCTACCAGTACCAACCCGAGTATGGCTTTCATGCAGGCAGTGGTAGTTATCACAACTATCATTACAGAGATGATGAGGGTGTCTTTCATGATCTGGATTAGATGGAAGATGCCCTGCCAAGACCAATTAGCGATCTTGAGGACGAGGAAGAGGAATATGGAGTGAATATGCTCGAGTCCGTCAACCTAAAACACACCATTTCACAAAGTTAGACAAATTTAAGTAAGGATGTGAATAAAAACTAACCATAAATGACTCTAAAAGTGAATAAAATGAAGTTATTGCAAGAAATTTCTTACCAAAGCACCGTCTGTCGCACCATCTAGCGTCATGTACCGGACCGATTGTCTTCGATACTTTTCTAGATATGGGTCATGATACCCCATCCACCCCACAGCTGCTTGAGTGACTACTTCATGAGCACTCCTATTGTTCCAGATCTCGATGAAGCTCCTCAACTTATTTGGCCAATTAGAAGGACCTTGGTGACCATCTTTCCAGCGGTACGCCTTTTTGACTTGTGGGGACTTCTAAGGGCATGCATTGCTCACGACCAAATTGCCGTAAGCATCGATCCGGCAAATGCTACTCCATAATATAGTGACAAATGAGTGGCACTCGAGTGCACCATTGACCGGGATGCATCGGGAACTTGTGTACGTGATTTTGAACGGGATGCATCAGTTAGGGTATGGATCGAATGTGATCTACAAAGGAGAGAACTATATTAAACAAAGCAATAAATTTACAAATAAACTGCACAAAATAACAAAGAAAGTAGATGTTTATTGTGGTTACCTCTCCTTCCCAGAGATGATCCAGCCTCCTCCGATACTCTTCCAGCTTGTGCTCCCCCAGGTTGTCACATGTTGTTTGTCCAAGCCACCTTATTGTATCAACAAACATACAAAGTTATAACTAACTAATCATTAATTACAACAAAAGAACTGGAGCAATGATTGAGATCGAAGAAGTTTACCTACAACCATAAGCTTGCAGTCTATAGGGGTGGTCATCGCCCCATTCCTTGTCGGGATCTAAGGCCGGCGCAATCCATGGCAGATGCTCCCAAGGCCAAAGCTGGACGATGAACATTGCCCCTTCAATCTTCGTGAACGATGATTAGGTTGGTCGTATAGCACGGATGGATCAATCGTTCCTTGCTCCACATAATTCCGTTGATCGTATATATCCACGTTCTCCCCAACCTATGATAGCATAAAAACAACATAAATTCATTAGTATATATATTAAATACAAAAATTAATAACAACAACATGAATTGGTAAAATGAGTACGTACCGCTTGATAGTCATCCATATAAATACCCTCATGGTTGGTCCAATCCGCCATTTTTCGGTAATGCGGACAGAGTTTCGACTGCCTTTGAAGGAAAAACCAAAAAAATGTTTTATGATGACAATTCTGACTTAGCCGCAATCAACATACCATTATTTCCTTGGTTTTGGCTTGGAGAGGGGGGTGGATATAGAGATATTTTTACAGAGGGGGAGAAGAGTGAGTTTTGGTGTGAAGAGAAATGAAGGATTGGGGGGGGGGGGGGTTGTTTATATAGCACACAAACCGCCTGCTTGGGCCGGTTTGGTAATCTCCCGCCGAATGAAAATCGCGCCCCAGGGGAATGGTTTGCCTGTTCCAAGAAAAAAACGCGCCCCGGAGGCGTGGATCATTAAGATGGAAGGCGGTCCACCGTCGGATCGCTCCTTCATAATGCGGTCCCGAGGAACGCCGCGTGCCCACGCGGTTGTTTCGCCGCCCTAGCGGGAAACGCCCCCTCCCCAAGCAGTTTATGTGGAAAGCATCTCCTCCTGCGGCGCTTCTCAAATAATGGTGGTAATTTTGGAATTTTTTTTTTGCGTTGGGTGATATTTTTGTAATTTTTTTTTGATAGTGGTACTTTTGAAAAAAATCCCAAAAAACCCAGCCCAAAAAAATTGTTCTTTCTCCGTCCCAGGTTTAGAAGCGTGGCGGTCTTAGTGACAGTTTCAGGCCATCATGGTCTTCACGTTGTCAGGTAGAGGTGAAACTTGGTTAGCACGTGCCTCTTGGCCTCATGGGCTTTTGGTCTAGAATCCAACTTCATTGGGTCATCGTAGTTGGCCCAACATTGATCTTCTTGCTCCAAGGGTTTGATCTTCGCTCTATTGTGGTCTATCTTCCTTACACAATTTGTTCTAGGATTGCTTGTACCAAAAAATCATCAGAACTACCCAAAGGGCATCAAAAAGTAAAAAAAAACATACATAAGATATAATAATCACACATTGGACATTTTATATAATTTCTATCTTAATTTTAACCACAAATGCATTAGTAGTAATGGTTTTCGCTTAAAATATGGAGGAAAAATATCACTTTCAGGTGTTGTCACTTGTCCATGCTTCCTTAACCATATAAAAGAATTTAGGGTGATCTGTTCAAAATTTGAAGAATTTGAACGGTTTAGGAATATTGCATGGCAACATTATTGTTTACTATGATTGAGAAGTGGTTAGATACCACTGGCTCTAGCATCAGTCTAACTTCAATTATTGGAATCTATTCCAGCCATTTCAAGTTAATTAAGGTTTTGTTAAGTCTTTTAGCAATAGGGTTTGCCTTATTGCTTATTTATCCACTGTACAGAATCCACTTGCTCCTCCACCTCTAACCAGTAAATCTTCAAACTCAACAATATAACTTGCGCTCACTCTGGATTATTATATGCTTCTCGAGGGTCATTAATGACATTAAAGTCTCCCAATATAATCTAAGGTAGAGAAATGAGTTAAACTCTCTCTATATAGCACTACACATCTCACTTCTCACACTATCTACATTCAAACCATATACGAAAGTGATAAAGAAAGGAATAACCCTCCTACGCTAGCACATGTATAAACTCTTCATAGTGGTGAAGGACTTGTAGTTGCACATCTTCCTTCCATACCAGCCAAGTCTTACCTTATTCGTCTGCTTCATGTACACTTTCAACCATGTAATACGGAAACCGACTCTTCAATAACTTTTCATAGAGCGTCTTTCGAATTCTAGGATCTAAAATAGCTACTTTCAATCTTTCATCTTCTACCGCCTCCCACCTCCCTCGCATCCCTTTTTATTTTTCTTATCATTATAAGGGGAAAGTTTTAGGAGTATTGAGAATTACCTTTTTGTAACTTAAATAAGAAGAAGCCAAGTCTCCCTCCCCCATCTTGCACTACGAATGTATTAACAATCGACATTGTTTCGAATTTTGCTACGGTGACATGCATATCACCGTAACTTGTACCTTTAGGTCGACCTCATATAGGATTAGGTTGACCTAATCTACCGTTTCAGTCTTGTGCTAGAAGGTATCTTACTTCGTAGCAACTTCGAGCCTTTTGTTTGAAGCCTTTCAGATATCCAATATTTCATCCAATGCCTTGACTTTGTAGATAAACATACCTACTTTCATGTGGTAGAGCCCCTGGACTCGAATCTCATCCATGCTTTTCGAATTGAGCTCCAAAGTAGGTTTCACAAACACTTTCCCAGACTTGGCAATTTTCAGGCAGTTTCCCAGTTTTGGCATAGCCTTTTGATCAGGTTCAAAAATGGTCTTCTGGACATCCTATCGAGCTCCCAAGCACTTCAATGTGTAGATGGACACTTCAGCTTCAAAACAAGCCATTAATCTCCAACTTCTATCGAGCCAATTGTAAGATATGAATCTCCAAAGTAGGCACCATGAAACTGTTTTTACACTGAAACAACTAATTAGGTCGACCTAATCCTAACTGAGGTCGACCTAAAAGTGCAAGTTACGTTGACATATATGTCACCATAGGCGCACCGACTTATTAACTCTTTGCATTGGTGGTGTGGGGCTCCCAAATCCTGATATTAGTTACTGGCCCTTTAACCACCTGTGCAAAACTTACAGTGGCACCCCAGATTTATGACATTACTAAAACAAATTTATGAGCAAAATTTCATGGACTAGTCATATTCGACTACCTAATATATTAAACAATTACCAGCAATTAAAATGTGATATGTACAATCTATTTTTTATTAGAACACATAAGACCATAATCCCAATACATATCTTTTGCTTAAAATAACATGTCTACCCAAATCTTGGAAATCATAACGAATCTCCAATAAAACAAACCTAATTTGTATCCACTTCATTTTTTTATTATGCAATTATCCAGACTTTCTGTCCCTTGGTGTATTATTTTAACATATCTTCCTTTCAACTCCCAAAGGGATGCCATGCTCTATCATTGAGGTCACTGTTTATGAGAAAAACACGTTCCCTTGGTGAAAGAGGGAAAAGCCCCCTTAACACAATTATTACAATCTGAAACGTTTGGTTATTCCAATTTTGACAATTCAACACACCAAAGCTCACTTTCCATCTCGTTTCTCACTTCCCACTTCCCCTCTGCTTCCTATTTAAAAGTTAAAACCTCGCCATTACCTTCCCGCCATCAACAACACACACCACCTCCCTTACCATCTTCACCGTCCTCTGTCTCTCAAGAACTAGCTCATCATCTTGAAACAGTTTGTGAGCTCTTGAGCTTGGTCCCAGAGAATGGACACCGGGGATCTGTACAGTGCGAGGAACAGTCTCCGGCGAGGAGGGTCTACTTCCATGTGGAGAAGTAATCCCTCGGAGTTGTTCTCTGCTTCTTCCAGGGAGGAAAACGACGAGGAAGCCCTGAAATGGGCTGCACTCGAGAAGCTCCCGACTTACGATCGACTCAGGAAAGGCATATTGGCCAGCGCTTCCAAGAAAGAACTCAGCGAGATCGATATCCAAAATCTCGGAACCGAGGATAGGAAGATTCTCCTCGACCGCCTCGTTAAAGTTGCCGACCAGGACAACGAGAACTTCTTGAGGAAGCTCAAGGGCAGAATGGACAGGTAACGTCTCTGCAGTTTCTTGTTTTTGGTTGCTTGGAAAATAAGGACTGCCAGGAACAGGGGAGCTAGTTAGAGCAAAAAACAGAGGAACTCTGTTCTGCAAACAGGGGAGCTCTGTTGTTCTTATCTCCTCTGTTCTGTTTTTTGGGTACTGATTTTTGGGGGTTGTTTGTTTGTTTGACGAAGGGTTGGAGTTGAGCTACCAACGATTGAAGTTCGATACGAGCATCTCAACGTTGAAGCAGAAGCTACAGTTGGGAGCAAAGCTCTTCCCACGTTTGCCAACTTCACTATTGGAATTTTCACGGTATATAAAAACATTCATACAAAATGAAAGTTTGTTTCTTTCTTTCTTTCAGCTTTTCCCCCGGATTCATCTTTGTACTTTCATCTTGAACAGACCATCTTGGATGGCTTACACCTTCTACCCAACAGAAAGAAACATCTGACGATTCTCAGTGACGTTAGTGGCGTCGTCAAGCCCGGCCGACTGACTCTGCTACTGGGTCCTCCAAGTTCTGGGAAGACGACACTGTTGCTGGCTTTGGCTGGAAGGCTAGATCACAGTCTCAAGGTTTCAGGGAGAGTGACCTACAATGGCCATGATATGCACGAGTTCATCCCCCAGAAAACTTCAGCTTACATAAGCCAGCATGATCTTCACATGGGCGAGCTGACTGTAAGGGAGACTTTAGCTTTTGCTGCCAGGGTCCAAGGAGTTGGATTTCTCCATGGTTAGTTACTTCTTTCTTCCTCTTTGGGTTAGCTTCATGTTTGAAATAGGACTACACTAAGTTTGGGGAAAATTCTGCAGATATGTTGGCTGAGTTATCCAGAAGAGAAAAGGCAGCCAATATTAAACCAGATCCTGATCTTGATGTCTTCATGAAGGTGAATCATCAAGGCTATATATTGAATTAAGGGTACAATTTGAAATCCCAACCTTGTATTTAACCATTGACTTTCTGAACCATAGGCTGCAGCTACAGAAGGTTTGGAGAGCAATGTGATAACAGATTATACTCTCAAGGTAATCAATATTGAAGTTGCTACTGCTACCCAACACTTTCATTATAAAGAATCCACCTTCATATGTTTCTGATGCATTTTTTCTTTCTGAAATTGGACCTTATAGATCTTAGGACTGGAAGTTTGTGCAGACATTCTCGTGGGAGATGAAATGATCAGGGGTATCTCTGGAGGACAAAGAAAGCGTGTTACGGCTGGTAAAAATCATTCACAAGTAATCAGCTTGTTCATGTTTGTTATCTTGAAAACAAAGCTTATATATAATTTACATGAATTGGCAGGTGAAATGCTCGTTGGACCAGCAAGGACATTGTTCATGGATGAGATCTCAACCGGTTTAGATAGTTCCACAACATTTCAGATTGTGAACTCGTTGAAGCAGCAAAACCACATCCTCAACGGCACAGCAGTCATTTCCCTCCTCCAGCCAGCACCAGAGACCTACAACCTCTTCGACGACATCATCTTGGTATCAGATGGCCAGATTGCGTATCAGGGTCCTCGCGAAAACGTGCTAGAGTTCTTCGAGCACATGGGATTCAAGTGCCCTGACCGGAAAGGAGTGGCTGATTTCTTGCAAGAAGTATGCACAAGAGAAAATAACAAGCACTTAGAGAGTTCCAATTCTGTTGCTAGATATTGATTGATGGGTTTATTTTTCTTTTATCCAGGTCACATCTAAGAAGGATCAGAAGCAGTATTGGACAAGAAGGGATCAGCCTTACCGCTTCGTAACAACAAAGGAGTTTGCAGAGGCATTCCAGTCCTTCCATATAGGAAGGAAGATTGCAGATGAGCTATCAGTTCCTTATGACAAAACCAAGAACCACCCTGCTGCCTTGTCAACCAAGAAATATGGTGTTGGGAACAAGGAGCTGCTGAAGGCCAACTTTGCAAGAGAGTACTTACTCATGAAAAGGAATTCATTTGTCTACATCTTCAAGCTTAGCCAACTGGTCATCATGGGGCTGTTTTTCATGACCGTCTTCCTCAGGACCGAGATGCATAGGAACACGATTCAGGATGGGGGCGTTTATGTCGGTGCTCTCTTTTTCTCACTGGTTATGCTCATGTTCAACGGAATGGCTGAGCTTCCAATGACCATTGCAAAGCTTCCCGTGTTCTACAAGCAAAAGAATTTGTTCTTTTACCCACCATGGATATACTCCATTCCACCATGGATCCTCAAGATTCCTGTCACCCTCTATGAAGTTGGTGTTTGGGTCCTCATGACATACTATGTCATTGGATTTGATCCCAACTTTGGAAGGTAAATCAAAGGCTGTCTGATTATACTAATTTCAGTCTTTCAAGTTTTCAGGTTACTTTAATTGTTACTGAAACCAATGTGTCACATATATAACATGATTGGTAATGCAGGTTGATTAGGCTTTATGTGTTGCTGGTGGCAATCAATCAGATGGCATCTGCTCTCTTTCGGTCCATCGCTGCAACGGGAAGGAACATGATTGTTGCCAACACCTTTGGCTCATTTGTTGTGCTTCTTCTCTTTGCATTGAGTGGATTTGTTCTGTCACGAGGTTAGTTATCGGTTAACCTTGGTTTTTTAACTTGACTTCTTTAATGTATTTGGGAATTGCTAATGTCTTAAGTTTTCTTTTTGATTTGTTATCAACAGAGGACATAAAAAAATGGTGGATTTGGGCTTATTGGGCATCACCCATGATGTATGGGCAAAATGCAATAGTGATCAATGAATTCCATGGAAAAAGTTGGAGCCATGTAATACTTTCACTGCAATTATCTTGAAATTCTTTCCATTCATTCCCTTCTTTCATTGCTTTATTCATGGAACTGATTTCTGTATACAGATTCCACCCAACTCCACAGAATCACTGGGCATCCAAGTGTTAAGATCTCGAGGGTTCTTCACAGAACCACATTGGTATTGGCTAGGAGTAGGAGCAACTTTTGGGTTCTTGTTTCTATTCAACATTGTTTTTGTTCTTGCTCTTACTTTCCTGGACAGTAAGTAACTCCCACCCATAAATTCCCTTTTCAAGTTAATGCTTCTAGTGCAAGAAAGCTTAACCTTTTTTTACTTGTTAAAATGGTCAGAATTTGAGAAGCTTAAGGCTGTCATACCTGAAGATGAGGCCATCGCTTCAGCAGGAGCCGTTGAGATGTCAACTAGTGGTTCCACCATAGCAGGAACTGCAGACGATGAAGCAAGTGACAGCAAGAAAAAGGGGATGGTTCTCCCATTTGAGCCTTATTCACTCACCTTCGATGACGTTATCTACTCAGTTGACATGCCACAGGTAAATTAGTACAAAGCTAACTATTTGGTTTAGTTCTTGTCAAATACTTAACCATTTCCCTTTTCATTTGGACTAAAAAAATCTACCAGGAAATGAAGAGCCAAGGTGTTACGGAAGACAAACTTGTGCTTCTAAAGGGTGTTAGTGGTGCTTTCAGGCCAGGTGTTTTGACAGCTCTCATGGGAGTCAGTGGTGCTGGTAAAACCACTCTCATGGATGTGCTTGCCGGAAGGAAAACCGGTGGCTACATTGAAGGAAACATCACCATTTCTGGGTTCCCTAAAAAACAAGAAACTTTTGCTAGGATTTCAGGGTATTGTGAGCAAAATGATATCCACTCTCCACAAGTTACCGTATACGAGTCTTTAGTATACTCGGCCTGGCTGCGTTTGCCCAAAGAAGTTGATCAAAAAACTAGAATGGTAAGTTTTCCATCCTAAAAAAACACAGCAGAGTTAATATGCAACTTTCATTTGTGCATGAACAATCAGTCTAACTTACCATGTGTTTGTATACGCAATAGTTGTTTGTTGAAGAAGTAATGGATCTTGTGGAGCTGAACCCTATACGCAACTCACTGGTGGGACTCCCCGGTGTGACTGGCTTGACTACGGAGCAACGCAAGAGGCTAACCATTGCGGTCGAGTTGGTGGCGAATCCATCCATTATCTTTATGGATGAGCCGACCTCAGGATTGGATGCTAGAGCTGCCGCCATTGTCATGAGAACGGTGAGAAACACTGTGGACACTGGTCGAACAGTCGTTTGTACCATCCATCAACCCAGCATCGATATCTTCGAAGCATTTGACGAGGTAGGTTGTTGTCAATCAATTAGCACAACTATTTAGAAATAAGTCCACTACATGGATGCACATTTGAAACTTTCTGTTTGGGGAATGTTTGTAGCTCTTTCTGTTGAAGAGAGGAGGGCAAGAGATATATGTCGGCCCACTGGGGCGCCATTCTGCCCATCTGGTGAAATACTTCGAGGAGATCGAAGGCGTGAGCAAGATCACAGATGGTTACAACCCGGCAACTTGGATGTTGGAGGTGACCACCACAGCACAAGAGATGGCTCTGGGAGTGGATTTCACTGACATTTACAGGAACTCGGATCTCTACAAGAGAAACAAGGCACTCATCAAGGACTTGAGCAAACCATCCCCGGGTTCTAAAGATCTCCACTTTCCAACACAATACTCGCAACCGTTCCTGACACAATGCGCTGCTTGCCTGTGGAAGCAGCACTGGTCCTACTGGCGAAACCCACCTTACACCGCGGTCAGGTTCATGTTCACAACCATAATATCCCTCACATTTGGAACCGTGTTTTGGGACCTCGGCGGCAGAACGACCAAGAACCAAGACCTTTTCAATGCGATGGGAGCGATGTTTTCAGCGGTGACGTTCTTGGGAGTCCAGAATGCATCTTCGGTGCAACCGGTGGTAGCCATTGAGAGGACCGTGTTCTACAGGGAGCGAGCCGCGGGGATGTACTCGGCTTTGCCGTATGCTTATGCTCAGGTGATGATTGAGATTCCATATATCCTGGTCCAGTCTGTGGTGTATGGAGTGATCACTTACTCCATGATGGGGTTTGAGTGGGAAGCCAAGAAGTTCTTGTGGTACATTTTCTTCATGTTCTTCTCCCTACTCTACTTCACTTACTATGGGATGATGACCGTTGCCATCACACCGAACCACCACATTGCATCAATCATCTCTTCCTTCTTTTACTCCATCTGGAATCTGTTTGCTGGGTTCATCGTCCCAAGACCCGTAAGTCTAATTTATGTGTCATTAACGATTTCGATTTCAATCTTCCATGATAGTTTTACTTGATTGGAAATGAATGTCTGATGTTGTGACTTTGGGGATGGGTTGCAGAGCATTCCAGTGTGGTGGAGATGGAACTACTGGGCCAACCCAATTGCGTGGACGCTGTATGGTTTGATTGTGTCACAGTATGGAGATGTGAAGACGCCGATGGAAGGAGGGCAAACGGTGGAGGATTTCTTGAGCAGCTACTTTGGGTTCGAGCATGATTTCTTGGGAGTAGTTGCTGGAGTCATGGTTGGATTGGTAGCGGTCTTCGCCTTCATCTTTGCTATCTCCATCAAGTCTTTCAACTTCCAAAGAAGATAGACAAATGCAAGACAGATTTGTTTTAAAGCCAGTCAAACAATTCGGAGCTCAAACTGTGTTTGCTTATTAATCTTTTTTTCCTCCCCTGTTTTCGTTTCTATTTTGTAATTCTTCGGAGGCGCTTTTCTTTTGATCAGTTTGTGATAAATTGTTGAGGTCATTGGGGGGAACAAACTACCTGACCAGAAATGGCTTTGGGCCGCCCAGAAGACAGTATCTTGGCGCTCGCTGCTACTGAATCACTTTGTCTGTATCGATGATGATGAACGTAGGCATTCACCAACAAAGAGGGACTCTACAGAGAGGGAAGATACCTCCCGCAATCGCATTCTCCTGATGCTTTGTTCTGTTTTAGTTCGGCGATGAAATTTGGGAAGCTAATTTGTCCACCGGCGGCGATCAAAGTGCTATAAAAGGAGTGGGCAGGCCACATTAATTCCTCACCCTAAACACAACATACAAAAAGCAGCAAACAGGGTCATTTGGGAGGAGAGTGTACATAAAGAGCTGAAACAGAAAGAAACAGAGAGTGAAGCAAAAGAAGAAGGAGAAGAAGAAGGAAAACATGTATTCCGGATCAAAATTGATGGTGGTGGCAGCTTTCCTGCTCCTAAACGTTTCGAGCTTCCTTGTCGTTGACGCGAGACTTGCAGACACAAGCATTATCAGAGGACCAGATTGCATCGGCAAGTCGGAGGATCAGGAGTACAACGCTAACGTGGCTCGTCTCGTCAACATATTTGTCGACGAGACGAAAAATGTGCAGCGCAGCCATCACAACGACTACAGTTACGTTCACAGCTACCCGAATCGCGACAACGGCTCGGTCATCGGAGGTGCTACCTGTGACAGGCACCTCTGGAAACTGGACTGTTGGGCGTGTTTGGTCACCGCTAAGAACAAACTCAACACCAACTGCGAGCATACCCTTGATGCTAGGCTCGAATTGGCTGATTGTTCCATCTGGTACAAAATGATCCAATAACTTCACTCTGTGTTTCTGGATATATTTGTATAGATGTGTGCCTCCTTTCTCTACTATTGTTATAACCCGTTTGTTTTTACCCTTTTGCTGCTTTGGTTGTGTTTGGGTCTATCTTTATCTTATTTTACTTTCCGTACTCAATAAGGTTCACGAATGTGTGGAACCAGTTACGAGCGGAAACTATAAATACTTGTCTATGATGCATATGTATTTTCAAATTGATGATTAATGAAATCTTACAATGACATGATCATGTTGATTATTATGAATATAAATGTCTATTTGATTTGAAGTATATGTAGCTTGTCTATCGTTGCTTCAAATTGTGAGGACATGGAAAATAAGTGGAATTAGTTGATAACTCAGTTCACATCAAACTAATATATGTTGTTAGGCATTAAGTGGGTACAATGTAATCAAACTAATAACATGCGGTTAAATCCTTTTAAAATAACCAAATTCTCATTCTTATATCCTGGACAAAGATTTAACCACTAGGAAATGTTGATCTATATAGGCAAGTTCAACTAGAACACTTGAACTATACAAAAAAGTGTTATTTCTATCCTAGGGGTCGCTTGGATGAGGATTTTCACCTAAATTCCTCATCATTCAGAATTTTGTTATATTTATTCACTAGCTTATAACCCGGCCTGTTGGCCGAAATGTTTGTATTTGAGTATTTATATTTATGTTATGTTTAACTTTATTAATCCGTTTAATTTTATTGACAATCATTCGATCGAGATGATACATAAACAATGAAACTGAGAGTGAAGCAAAAGAAGAAGAAGGAAAACATGGATTTCGGATCAAAATTGATGGTGGTGGCAGCTTTCCTGCTCCTAAACATTTCGAGCTTCCTTGTCGTTGACGCAAGACTTGCATACACAAGCATTATTAGGGGATCAGATTGCATCGGCAAGTTAGAGGATCAAGAGTACAATGCTAATGTGGCTCGTCTCATCAACATATTTGTCGACGAGACGAAAAATGTGCAGAGCAGCCATCACAACGACTATAGTTACGTTCATAGCTACCCGAATCGCGACAATGGCTCGGTCATCGGAGGTGCTACCTGTGACAGGCACCTCTGGAAACTGGATTGTTGGGCATGTTTGGTCACTGCTAAGAACAAACTCAACACCAACTGCGAGCATACCCTTGATGCTAGGCTCGAATTGGCTGATTGTTCCATCTGGTACAAAATAGTGGCGGATCTAGGGGGTGGCCACCCGGGGCCATGGCCCAGCCCTCCTTTGGATCTGAAGCTAGTAGCCCTTATAAATTTTTCGATTTAGGATATTCAGCCTAGTGTTATTTTATAACAAGATTGGGTTTAATTTTGGAAAATTGTTCAGATGAACATATTCAAACTGCAACTCTAAATTCAACCTAAAATTTTTTGGCTCAATGATTTTCTTCTAAAGAAATGAAACCTAAAATTCTTAAAGTCTAAAACGTAAAAGACAAATAGAAATACGAGGTTTGTTCCCTTTTTAAAATTATTAGAGCAGCTGGTGAAAATAGGGTTGGTCACACAATACAAATTAATTAGTCAATTGATTTTTCTAGTGTTGACATTGCTCATTTCAACGACTACTACGGAGAGAACCTTTTCAACAATGAAACATGTGAAAATTGATTTGCGCAACAAGATGAGCGATGAATTTCTCGGTGATTGCTTAACTATTTTATTTGAAAGAGAGTATACTATTGTTATAGATGTAGACTCCATTATTTATGAATTCGCTATATTAAAATACCGTCGTATACAATTGACATCATAAATAAATTAGGATTATTTTTCTTTTACTGTATCTAATTTTTTAATAAAATCCGGCCCAGTGCTCTACTATGTCCTGGATCCGCCGCTGGTACAAAATGATCCAATAACTTCACTCTGTTTTCTGGATACATTTGTATAGATGTGTGCCTCTTTTCTCTACTATTGTTATAACCCGTTTGTTTTACACTTTTGCTGCTTTGGTTGTGTGTGGGTTTATCTTTATCTTATTTTACTTTCGGCTAAATTGCAAGTTTGGTCACTTGAATTACTAGTAAAGTTCACGTTAGCCACTAGAATTACTTTATTCCATCCGCAGTCACTTAAATTAGTTCAATAGTTCAAGTTTGGTCACTCTCCGTTAGTCTCCGTTAATTTTGGCTGATGTGGCAGTCAACTTTGAGAGTTGACCATTAAATAAGTGACTTGACAATTATCAAATAATAAAAAAATAAAATTTAAACTTTTTACAATTGTCACCTCATTATCACAATAAATTAAAAATAAATAAAGTAAAACAATTGTAATTATAATTATAATTAAATTGAACAAACCCTCATCGGTAGGGGTGGGCATTGGGTGGGTCGGGTGGATTTTGACCATAAAATGTACCCACCCGCGCTTAAACGGATTGATAATATTTAACCCACCACCCGCCCACATTTAGTCTCGGGTTGGGTCGGGCGGATGGTGGATGATGCGGGTGGGTTTGTGGGTTCACCCACATCACAATGTATATAATATAAAGGAGTCAACTTGACATGATAATAGGTGAAGAGAATCATCGAGGGAAACAATAAATTGAAATAGGGCGAAAAATGTCGAATTAGTTCTTAAATTGGATAGAAATTCTATTATGAAAGAGTTTTCTACAGATTGAGACGATTATTAGGTGCAAGTAACTAAGGAAAATAATTCCACAAAAGAAAGAGCGGTGATCTAGGCACAAGAATTAGAGGAAAAAGTAAAGGGAAGAAGAGGGGATCTCTATTTGGAAGGTTGGCTTTGAGGTTCAAACTCCAGGAGCAGTCCGAGTTTATATCTAACGTCTCCACTTTTCTCTCTCTAGCGCCAATCACTTTGATCTTTTTACTGTTGGGTTGAGCGGGTCACCCGCACACTCACCCACAACCCACCCACCACCCGGCGGATGGCTCCCAGCACAACCCGTCACCCACCCACAGACCCACCCACTTAACGAAATTCGGGTCAAATGCGGGTGGGTCGGCCCAAACCCGCGGATGATCCGCCCGCATGCCCAGCCCTACTCATCGGAAGCAGCCCCTCGACCGAAGAAATTATTAGTTTATACTAGTTTATTAATTTATTGATTATTAATTTAAAAATGTTAGACTGTACGTATTTTGTTTGGCAAAATCCAGAATGCACTTCATCTACCATTTCATTTGGTCTCAAGTATTCCGGTTAGCATGTTGATAGATAGACGTTACTAAGAGATAAAAATTTTGATCGCTTAAATTTGGATCTGTAGAGAAGGTTAATTCTAATAACTCGAGTTGTTAAAAGAGGTTTAATAATATATCTTATATCATTCACTAACACACCCACTCAAACGAAAGCCAGTCAACTCATAAGAGCTTTCATTTGCACAAATCTGAATACACGTACGATATCATGTGCTTCACAAATGAGGGTCATCGAGATTCGAACACAAGACCTTTCGGTCACATAAGACTCTGATATCATGTCAAGAACTAGTTGATCCCAATAACTCGAAATGTCACATAAGGCTATAATACCATGTCAAGAACCAGTTGATCCCAATAACCAGTCGATTTCTCACTCATTTCAAATCGAAATTTTAATTTTAATTTTTGCACAGTTAGATAAGAAAAAATTCTTGTCAGAACCATAGTTCAACCATCGTTTCATTATAAAATATCCTACTTCTAATTTTTTCGATACAAACTTCGGTTTGGTTTTCCAATCCTGAATCCTTAGTAATAACCATTAATTAAGTAGATAATTTATGAAACCACAACCCAACACTTTAAAGTTACGCCAATATGATGATACTGATAGGAGAGGCCTATATATAGATCAAGGTTAACACAGTTTTGCTAAACAACATCAATCTAGTTACATGACATCGCCAGATTCCCAAAAATGTAAACAGAAAGTTAAAAGAACTTACACAAACACACACAAATTGATCTCAACAAAACCAAAAACAAAAAAACCCAGCAAAGTGTACAAGTAGTAATCTTCCTGGTCAGAAAAAGGACACCCTTGGTTTTCTTTTTTATCCAAATCTCTTCTCACAAGTAGTTTTCCATCGACATTTTTTACACAAACACACACAAATGGACCTTTTAACTCAAAGTATATAGTACTGAACGTTTACCACTAGCCAATCTCTTTGTGTTTTTTTCTTTTGTTTTTTACCAGGGTTTCAAAGGCCCCGTCGACAAGGATTTGTACCTCTTAGCTTCCCACAGCTGTTGCTTCGCCCTCACATGACACAGCCAGCAGACCAAGCACACCATAGCTGAAACAGAGATCATCACCAGCCCAACAAACGTTCTGTAGCTGTACCTTCTGAGCCCAGGGCAATACGAGTCCGTGATCTCGGTCAGCGTCTTCAACACAAAGGAACACTGCCCTACTTCCGCCAAGAACGGGCCTGCTGTGTACAAGGAGTAGCTCACGTTGACCACCGCTATCAATTGGTCGTACATGTACGGGGTCAACCTCCCCGGGCTCGCGCAAATTCCCGATCCCGACGCCTGGCACTTGTACTTGTCGAATTCCTGCATACGAGGGGAAAAAAAAATGTCGGTTAAGTTTGCGAGGAAGTGGTTAAGTATCATCCCTTCCAGTAATTCGCGAGTTATTGGAATGAATTGGTTAGTGACATGGTATCATAGTGAATAATATTTTCCAACAACTCGAGTTATTGTAACCAACTTGTTTTTTAATATGGTATTAGAGCTCGTTTGTACTTTGCTGTCACGTGCCCAAGTCCTCACGACCCTCAATATCAGTCGTCATCTTTTAAAACACGTGTTATGACAAGCCTGTGCAAACTTCAAGCCCATGAGTCGGCTTTTGTTTGAGAGGGCGTATAAGTAGATGGTTAAGTACCATACATGGACCTCTCACAACAAGTCAAGTTGAGAGCGATTGGTATTTTGTTGTAATCTGAATCTCAATAACTATTGTGAAACTAAGTCTCTTCTGTTCGTGGACTAACAGCTAACACACATTGTGTTAGTAAATCTGTGTTCTTTACTTTTTTACATTGTCGATTATCTAATCCGTTATAACCATTTATGAGAAAATAGAACTGCGCTATTGAATCAAAAGTGAAGAGAGTGATCGAACCTCGGAGACATTGGCGATGTCGACTTCACCAGGGAGGCAAGACCTGTAGGTCATGTCGGCATTGATGGGATTGCAGAGAGGCGGGAGCAAGGGGCCCGATTGATTGTAGGAGAGGCCAAGGTTGGACCGTTTGTTGGCAACCCCGTTGTCGAACTGGTTGGTGGAGTTGACGATGAAGTAGACGGTGGCTTTGCTCACCGACAGGGCTTCATCGGCGATGGTGCTGTTCAAGCATGGCAGCACCTGGTTCATGGTGGAGTTGGTGGTCGGGTTTCTCACCCACTCTTCCATCGCCACGCACGCGTCTGCCACCGCACTTACAATCAAACATCCTATTATTAATCATTTGACGACCGACGTTTCATACCAAATTAAAAACATGCATGCGTGTCTAATGATAAAAACGATCATTCCACTACGTACTTACATGCGGAAGACGAGAAACAAAGCACTGAGGATGAGTAGCAGTACGATGATGGCCCAACCTAGAACTGCAAGCCTGCACCCGTGCTTAAGAACATACAGTTAGCACTAAAGTTACTAGAATTGAGTTCAAAGTGCATTTTGATCCAGTTCGATCTTATCGATGCATATTGACGACGTCGATTGTTTTTAATATAATTTTGACAAACAACGACTAAAAATTCAATCTAATCACATTTGGTCTGATTTGATTCAATACAATCATGTTGAGTATGAATCGAATCGTTCCCCAACCCTACGAGTAACGGTTAAGAATCGAATCAATGGCGCTGTAACATAGTTTAGGGAATTAGGAAAAACTCACAAGTACACCAAACATCGGATGCCAAGAATGGAGAACACTGCAAGGAGGGAGAATTAAGGGGACACAATTAACTAATGTAACAGAATTGAAATGATGTTAGGAGTTCGGGAAAAGGAACAAAATATGCTTACGAAGACCAAGAACTACCAAGGCGATTACTATCCCCACAATTATGTTAAGTGCTAGCCTCCTGTAACAGAATTGAAATGCTGATAAGAGGAGTTACGACGTTGGAAATAAGTCATGGCACGGAGAGGGAGGTTTGAGTTCGTGAATTACGCACGCAGGAAAAAGGACACTGTGTATGGCGAGGTTCATGGCCGAGGACTGAAGCTGGGGAAGTGTGGCCATGGAAGTGACGAGGTCGTTGACGTAGGTGATGCTGCCCAACACATCCGGCGGCAGCGAGAACTGGTTGGAGGCCATGCTGGCGGCGTTGGCGAAGGCGTTGACCACCACCTTGAGCTTGTCGAGAATGGTGACCGCCTTGTTCATGATGTACTCCATGGCGTCGAACACCTCGTCGTAGAACTTGTGCTGGTTCACGTAGATCACCACGCTCCCCGATCTGCATGGAAATCAAAACCAACACGTAAGTACGTAATGATATATCAAAGTGAAAGTATGCATGGGAGAAGGAAAAGTAAAGTTTTACGTACATGGCTACGATGGTGGAGATGAGGAGAATGGCGAGGGAAGCGTTGTAGAGTGAGCGAGGGTTGCCGCGGCGCTTCTTGCGGCCGCAACAGACGGCGCAGCAACACCGGAGGAAGGCGCAGCAGAGGAACACCCATAAGGACAGGAACCAGACACCGGCGATGATCACTAGCGGCAGCGCGGCGAAGGCGACTGACTGCAGCAAAATCCCATTTTAGGCCAAAGGAAAGGAGCAGAGAGAGGTTAGGTTAGTTTCTCGGTAGAAAAGAAACACATTAATAAAAGGGTGCTAATAAATAATTTGTTGATATCAACTAGTACAATCATTTAGTCTCAACAACTTAAATTGTTAGAAATGAAATTTTATGTCTTGTTTACCGTTATGACCTCATACACTATGCTTTCTTGTCTTGTAGTTGTTACCCAAAAGTTTAGAAGGAAGGCAAACAATTACTCATGTACAAAAAGATTAATCAATTAAAATGCAAAATCATATATGAGTCGTTCAGAAGGAGCTATAACTTGCTTATATTTATTTTTTTATATATATAAAGTTACAATATTTGCACGAATTGTAATAAGTTGAACAACATTGGATGCATGTCATTGCAAGGTGGTGAACTAGTACTAGTTGCCCTCCCTCAAGACACAAATCACATGGTGATCACAAGGTTGGTATATAATGTTTGTTTCTATCCTGCTTCCCATAAATCATGGTTTTGCTTAGTGTTGGAGCCACATTGATGACAGGGAAGGGTGAAGCATCACTTAATTCTCAAAACCAAGTAAAACTATAAGCATCGTTTTGTAATGAATTTGTAATTTGTAAGGCTTTAGCCCCTCGTCAGTTTAAAAATTCTCTTAATATAAATTTTTAAGTTTTTCATTTAAATTTTTGACTTCACCACTAATTTTACCGCTAAATAATCCCCTACATATATGCTAAATATATTTTTTTTACTTCTCTTGATTTAAATTCCTGATTACGCGACTTTACATCAAATTATTATATCATGATGAAGCTTAAAAGTTAAATAAAGATATCATCATTACATTCCCCAAAATAGCTGTAGGTCATCCAATACAGGCAGCAACTCAACGAATTAAGGAGCTAAGAAAAAAAGGGGAGACAATGCATGCATGCATGCAACACCCATCTCAATTACTCATCAAAAGAGACAGAATCTGTACAGGGGAAAAAAGGACGCCATTTTGATTGATATTTTCCGACTCCCAGAAATTAAGGTAGAGATATGTAAACATGAATAAAAAGGGATTAATGAATTATACTCACGGCCCAGTAATGCTTGTCCTCGTAATTCCAGCCTCCTGTATAGTAATGGCATCCGTCAAGTGGGTCCCGCCTCCTCGTCCTTTCTGCGGCCAGCGTCATGTTGGTGATCGCAAGCTTGCTCCCGCTGTAGTCTTGTTTCATTCCTGCCAACAAATCCTTGTACTTGCTCGTCCATTCTGCCTTCCCATCAATATCCATGCATCAACCATAATAATTACCAACATAAAAAAAAAAAAAAACATCAACCCAGAAATTCATAAATAAAAAAGAAACCCCCCTAATTATTTCGTGCGTACGTACGTACCTTGAATCTGCTGGTCTATGTTGCTGGCGTCGGAAGTTGTGAAGAAGGAGGAAGAAACGACGAGGAGGAAGAGAAGAGCTGCAGATTGGACAGCAAAGAACCATCTACCAATTATCATCTCTCCCTCTCCCAGGCTCCTCCAATTGTGCAGCAGCAGCTGGGGAATATCAAACAATTTTCCTTTCTTTTCTTTTCTTTTATTCTTCTTTTTTTTTTATTCTTCTTTTTATTGTGATTGATGAGAAGGGTTTTAATTTATCACCTACATCATTTTTTTTTCCTCTCTGGATTTTGAAGAAACGAGAGGGGAAAAAATCTCAAGAAATGATGCCATAGGCGCTTAAATATGATTTTTTCCCCCTTTTGTTTGATTGATTTGCATTTCTCATGTTGTGTAACTAAGGGTATTACTAAATCATCATTCATGTTGGGCTGAATTTACACGTTTAGTTACTGAGTTTGTTAAAAAATATTGGCAAAATACACTTGCATTGTCAAAACTTTCACCTTTGTGCAACTTATAGCCACATTTGGCGAAATACCACTGATAGCCACTTTTGAAAGATGTTGCGTGCCAGATATAGCCATTTCCGTTAGAAACTATAACGGTGTTAATCACACCGTCAACTTACTTGACGGTCGGCTGACGAGGAGCCAATAAAGCGGACACGTCAGCGACAACTAAGCAAATAATGACACTTCAGATATTTAAATTATTTATTATTTAAAAAAATAAAAATTCTATCTAAAAAAATATTCCCTTATATTCCCACCTGATTCGCACGAGCCGCGATCCTTCTTCCCCAACTTTTGGCCGGAATCGAAATTAGGGTTCTTCCCCAAATTTCCTCTTCCCCACAAATCGTCTTCCACATTCGTCTACTACTCCTCCCCGTTACCCACCAATCTTCTTCTACTTTCTGAACGATTCGGTGATTACTCCTCTTCCCGCAAATCCTTGCTTCCTCCTCCACCACAAATCCCCCTGCAGCAGTTTGCCAATGAAAAGAGACCCAAAACCAAATCGACAGCCGAACTCTCTTTTGCACAGAAGCAGAAAACCAAATTCAAAAATAGGAATGGCAAGGCCGACCCAGAACCAAATCGACAGCAAGATTGGAAAGTTCTGCTTGGGCACTCTGCTGCTGTGGTCGGTTTCAGTCGGGTTCGAGATTCTCTTCAACCACCGAACCGAGCTCCTCGTCGTCCTCGCCGGCGCTGCCTTCTTCCAAATCGCCAACTTCTCTAAATCTCCTCAGACAACAACCTGGTACCCTAATTGAAAATTTGTGTTGGGGTCGTCGATTGTGCAAGTTATATTGGGGGCGGATTGTGCAGGGAAGAGATGTTGGTTCAGCGGTCGGCTGGTTGGTGGAGAGATGGAGAACTTCTTCTCTGCGAGCCCTTCTTGTCCAGCCCCATAAGCACTTGCAACGACGTTCGTCTCGTTAGATGAGGAGAAGAAGGAGATGAGATCTAGAGAGAATGAAGGCGATGTGATGGTGGAGGAAGAGTACGGAGGCGATGATGGAGCCAAAGAATCCATGGAATCAGGGTAAGCTACGGCGACGGTGGCGGTGACGAGCTGCGGTGGGCAGCGGATGTAGGTTGGACGGCGGAAGGAGTGAGCGGTTGGTGGGTTGCTTGAGGAGAAGAAGCGGAGATTAGGGATAGGGAGAAGAAGCATGAGATTTTTTTTTTTTTTTGCTTTATTAATATTTATATTTTATTTAACATTAATTAATATTAAAGAAATTCCACGTAAGTATTATTAGTTGCCACATCATCATTTCTGTTAGTTCACTCAATCCGTTAGATGACACCGTCAAAGAATTGGACGGAAGTGGCTATAAGTGGTATTTCGCCAAAAGTGGCTATAAGTGTCACAAGCGTGAAAGTTTTGGCTATACAAGTGTATTTTGCCAAAAATATTCATAATTTGCCACCAAATAAATTTGTCTTGTTAGTCTGCTTCCTTCATTCATCATCACACTTTGTCAACGCCATCAATTATTTATGATGTGCATGCCTAATAGATCTGGCAATCGTGTTATGAGTACTCATTTGTCACTTTTATTTGTGTCAAGGACCATTCTGTATTTTCTTGGTTAAGAGTCAGCCGAGTGTTTCCTGTAGAAATCGGCTGCTATATATGCTTGTAACTAGGGCTACAAACCCTAACAATCATCATCATCATAATCAAAAATCCTGAGAGTGTGAACTCTCCGTGGAGTAGTCCCGTTCACATCGAACGGGGAAACCACGTAAATCTCGCTGTGTCTGTTCTTCTTTTACGTTTTCTTCATGGTATCAGAGCTGTGAGACGATTCCACAGTTCATCTCCCCATGTCTGGACACGACGAAACTTCTGGCGGCAGCGGTGGCGAACCCAAACCCCCGATTCAGCCGTCGCCTCTGTTCCTTCATCAATCCGATTCTCCTAGTCATCTCTATGTTGGTGATTTGCTCACGGATCTTAACTACAGCGAATGGCTTGGCGATATTACCGACTCGTTGATCGCCAAGAATAAACTTGGTATCGTGGATGGCTCCCTTCCCTGTCCGGAGGCTGGAGTTGAGCGAGACGCATGGAAACGCTGCGATGCCATGGTCAAAGGGTGGTTAAAGACTTCCATGAGCAAAGACGTCCGTAGCAGCGTTCGGTTTGCCAAAACTTCTCGAGAGATATGGTTAGACCTGGAAGCGCGATTTGGTCACGGCAGCGCCGCGAGGCAGTACGAGCTTCGTCGTACGATCAGTTCTCTGCACCAAGAAAAGACCTCGGTTGCTGCATTTTACACAAAATTGCGCGGCTTCTGGGATGAGGCCACGTCTCTCGCTCCTTCCATTGATTGTATTTGCAATAATTGCACCTGTGATGCCAAGAAACGTCAGCGTGAATCCCATGAAGTTGAGAAATTATTTGACTTTCTTATGGGTCTAGATGACCCGTTCTCCACGGTGAAGTCGCAGATTTTGGCGATGAAACCTCTCCCCAGCGTCGCCGAAGCTTACCACATGGTGGTCAACGATGAGCAGCAGCGGCTTGTCGCTAGTCAACGTCGTCCTCAAGCTGAGGCGGCCGCGTTTCAAGCTCGGGGAGACCGTCGCCCTCCATCTGGCCGATCGCCTTCTCCAGGTCAAGGGGATCGTGATCGTGATGCGGATGGTCGGCCATACTGTACTCATTGTCTCAAATCCGGTCACTTCAAGGATACGTGCTTCAAATTGCACGGTTACCCTCCTCGTTCTGGTGACAAAGCCGATCAGCCCCGTCGACGTTCCGGGAATCCCCCTCCTCGTGCTGCGCAAGTCGACACAGCAGCTTCGAGTCCCATCCCGGGGTTGACGGCCACACAGTTCAGTCAACTCAAGGCCTTGTTGGGGGCCGAGCCTCAGGCAGCATCTTCGACTCCCCTCGATCCGGTTTCCAACATGGCAGGTACGGAATTCCCTTCCAAAAGTTCATGGATTCTTGATAGTGGTTGTAACGAACATATCATTAATGATAAATCGCTTTTGACCGAGGAACATGATGGTTCCCCGGGTCTCCAGGTTCGCATTCCGAATGGAATGGGTATACAGGTTCACAGTATAGGGTCAGCTCGGTTATCTAGTGATCTCACTCTTCGACGAGTATTGCACGTGCCGGATTTTCAGTGCAATCTTCTCTCAGTCAGTAGACTCACAGCTGATCTGCCAGTGGCATTAATCTTTATGCGCGACTTTTGTGTTATTCAGGACTTACCTTCCAGGAAGCTGATTGGGATGGGGCAGCATCTTGATGGGCTTTACTATCTTCGGCTCTTTGATGGTTCACATGTGATGGCGAATGCAGTGAAGCAAGCAGTTGATGACTCCACTTTATGGCATGCGCGTCTTGGGCATCCGTCTAGGGCCAAGTTTGATCTGTTGCAACAGTTTATTCCCAGTTCTATTGTTAAGTCGGCAGAACCTTGTCATTCTTGTCTTCGAGCAAAACATACTCGAACTCCTTTTTTACCTAGTACCATTCGGACGAGTGCTTGTTTTGAGATGATACACATTGATGTTTGGGGAAGTTATAAAGTTGCCTCTATATCTGGGGCACGTTTTTTCTTGACTATTGTGGACGATTTTAGCCGTGCTGTTTGGGTTTTTCTGCTGAAGTTTAAATCCGATGTGGCTCGTCATTTGATTTATTTCTGCAACATGGTCAAGACTCAGTTCACCAGTCGTGTTCGGCGTATTCAGGGGGATAATGCTCCTGAGTTCTCCTCATCTGAGCTGCGAACTTACTATGAGGCAGAAGGTATCGTTCTTCAGACTTCGTGCACTGACACTCCCCAGCAGAATGGGGTAGTCGAACGGAAACATCGGCATCTATTAGATACAGCACGGGCTCTCCGGTTTCATGCTAATCTTCCACTTCGTTTCTGGGGTGAGTGTGTTCTGACAGCTGCTTATCTCATCAATCGTATGCCTCTTGTATCCATCGATAATCAGTCTCCTTATCAGCGGGTTTTTGGCAAGAACCCCTCTTACTCTCACCTCCGGTCTTTCGGCTGCATGGTTTATGCTCGCGATAATCATCATGGCTTACATAAATTTGGGGATCGTGGTCGCGCTGGAGTATTCCTTGGATATCCGGCTACTCAGCGTGGATATCGTATCTATGATCTTGAACGGCGGATCATTTACACATCTAGGGATGTGCACTTCCTCGAGCACATTTTTCCCTATCGGCCGGGTCAGTCTGTTTCTCAAGTGGAGGCTCGCACTACTCACCCGCACTTTCCCCAGCCTGCGCGTGATGAGGACGATGATTTTCCCGTCCCAGAGCCATCCACCTCGGCTCCCTCTCCTCCTGAGTCGTCCTCGGTTCCGGTCGAGCCCTCATCTCCTCCTGGCTCCTCCTCCTCGCCCGGCTCTCCTGTCTCTTCATCGGCTTTGGAGGAGGCTTCGGTTGCTGCTCCGCAACCCCCTGCTCCGGTTGCTGCTCCGCAGCCTGTGCGTCAAAGCTCCCGGATCAGCATTCCTTCCACTCGTCTCCGTGGCTTTGAGGTAGACTTGCCGGGACGTCGGGATCCTCCTCAGGCTTCTCACGTCACCTATCCTCTTGAGCAGTATCTCCACAATCGACGTCTCTCTCCTGCTCATCGGGCATTTGTTGCGGCTGTCACTTTGCTTGATGAGCCTCGATTTTTCCATCAGGCTGTTCGGCATCAGGTTTGGCGTGATGCCATGCAGGTTGAGATTACAGCTCTCGAGAAGAACGGCACTTGGACTTTGGAGTTTTTACCTCCTGGGATGAAGGCCATCGATTGC